TATACATTGAGATGTCTGTATTGGTTTGTTGACTTTCTGTTTATTTACATGTTGTAGTTGTAACAGTAATATACTTTGTGTATGAATTCAGTGTAAAAACGTTGATGTCAGTTACTTCATTTTCTGGGAAACAAAGTGGTGTTCACTGGAAACATAATAGTGAGGAGAAAAATGTGCATTTTTTTCCCATCTCTACAGTTTTGCCAGTGTTTACTACTTCTAATGCTTTCATCTACACCTAGTTTGTGTTAGAAAAATATACGTAAAACAGAATTTAAGCCAATTCTATGCACAGGTTATTCTTGCAGCAGTTCCCATTTTGCACCATTTTCGGTGTATCTGTAATGAAAGCCATTTGGGCTGGTGTATAGTGCTGCCCGCAAATTTCAGCAGTGCAGACAGAGCATTTGCTTTTAGTTTGGTTTCCTGAAGGGACCAAGTTTGTGCAGTTGTGTTCTGCATCACCTCTGCCGTTTCCCTGGTAGCTTTAAAACCCATGGGCCATTTTCATCTTCATGTGAGGGTAGGCAGAAGTCTCAAAGATAATGTCACTCCTCGCAAATGGCAGCTAGTTAATGGAGAGAAACCCAGCTTATTGCCTTCGCTGAAAAAGGGCAGAATTCATCTGCTGCAAAGCTGGCTGCGCAGCACAGCTTCCCGTTAGTCACATTATTTGTGTCTCTTGCTTAGTGAGGCAATGCCTTAGGGAATTGAGGGGAAAGGAGAAGAGCTAGAGTTGTGGTAGTAGATGGAGTGGAAAAGGAGACAAAGTATAGAAATCTTTTGAAAAACAGACTACTTCTGTTGATTCTGTGAACGAGCCAGTTGAGTAGACAGAGTAGCATTATATTTGTGGTATTTTCTCCACCAAGATTTTGGAGATAGAAATCCCATTGTAATGCTGCCTGACTGCTTTGTCCAGTCAAGGCTCTAGTAACCAGCTGCGTTTCAATATGTTGCTTCAGTCAAAAGAAATATGACTTTTTAATGCAAGGAAATAAGCTGTTACTTGCTGCAAAAGGTTAGAAGAGACAAGGTGGTACTTGTATATAAGATATGTATATGTTGTACATCTGTACAACATACCCTTGACCTAACCATGTCAGTCTTACCTTGCAGTAAAACTACATATTTTCATGTATTTTTAAAACTACGTGTAGGACTTCATATTATCTCGTAGAGAAGTTGACCTTTTTTGGAAGTAAGGATGAGGTCACAGCTAAATTAGGCAAACTCGTCGTGACAGTAGAACAGTTTTAAATATGAGTGAATTTACACATAATTTTGAGATCATTTATTCAAACAGAATTTTACACCATTTTTCAGAAAAAAATATTTTAAAAATAGTTTCAAATTTTGGATTTTGTTTCTCTCTCTCTGTTCCAAAATAGTTTGAAATGTGTATTTGATTTTTTTCTTAGTCATAATGAAGTATTTACTGCTTCATTTTTATTTCAAAGACAAACATGGAGACATTTAACCTAAAAGATGCCTTCCTAAAAATAGTTTAAAATGCATAAAATAAAATGCTTGAAAAGTTTTGCAACCTTTGTTATAGCCAAGGTTCATAGGTTCAAGGAATTCATAGGTTGTTAACAAATACGTGTGATTGCTATAACATAACCATTGTAACTCCTCCTTTAAAATGAATCTCAATACTTTAAAATAATTAAAATAACAATCCCGTTATTGGGAACAGATTGTGCTTCTCCCCCGTAAAATTTGAAAAAACTGATGCCTCTCTGTTGAGAGAGCGAGCTTAGTAAAAGTGGGAGGAAAGAAGGCTTCTGTGTGCTAATGTTTGGTTTGTTTTTGTATTGAAAACTGTGCTGTGGCTTTAAGCTACAACAATGAAGCCTGAAACAACAGCAGAAGGAGAGGTGTGAATTCAGCTCTACAGTCATCATATGCACTTTTACTTTTGAAACTCGTTTGTCACAACTTTACTAGCCCAGTTAATTGCTTCATTGCTTCAGAGCTCCTTATTCCAAACATCCTACTTCAAGAAATAAAATCTTTTAAAAATGAAAGGTTTTATAGCATGGCATATACATAATTTTAATTTCAAAAGACATACTCTTATATAAAGTCTTTATTAGACAGAGAAGTTGAAGAAAGCTACCATCTTAGTATATGAACATTTGTCACCAGGGTAGTAAAATGTGTAGCTAGCATGGGAAAGACCTTAGAGTAACTTATATTTTTACAATCATCCTGAAATTATACCATACTTAATAAAAATTGGTCAGTGCTAGATCAGATCTTTTGGACATAAACAGGGAAAGAAAAGAAAGACCAAGAAAAGTGTGACTGAAGTTTAAGAATACAAAAAGGAAACACTACTGACTAATGTTCTAAGATACTCGTAATAATATTTCCACTTAATGTGTTAAAAATACTATTTTAAATCTTAATCTTAAAGAAATATGCAGAAAGGATTCTTTGATTCACTTATCTCATGCACTGACAGCCTCAGCCTTTAATGTAATTTTCTCAGTAGTATGTGAGGTGCACAGAAGTAGCAACGCCTCCAGCCTATGGGAGGGGAAACTCGTACTATACTTAAAGACAAATTTGAGTCGAGAGCCAAATCCAAAAGGAGCAGAGCTGCCTTGATATTCAGAGCTGCAGGACCTCACAGCTGGGTGTTTCCTCTGAGCATGGGATTCACAGGTCAGCGTTGGATACCCAGGTTTCCTCTCTGAAGGTGGAAAGGATGCAGGCCATGAATTTCAGAAGGCGTTTCAGTACTACTGCTGGGAAAGAGAAAAGCAGGTCCTTCCCTCTGTTCTTTCCTTGCTTGTGTATTCTCCCAAGATGTCATGGCTGTGGCAAACTGAACTGGGAAACAGATTCATAAAACAGTTTGAGGAAGGAGGGAGTTTTGAACTTTTTATAACCAGTCATTGGGTAATAGGCGTAAATAGCCCTTGAAGCTATATCTTTCCTTTTTTTTTTGTAAGTACAACTGTTAGACTGTCACTTTTATATTCTCTTTATTGACCACTGAAGCTTCATGTTTCTTTCCTTCTTTTCCTTCCGTATGGAAAATGGTTTGTAGGTTACTGGCTAGAGGACAGGTATAGGGTTGAACTTCAGGTGGCGTGAAGAACTAATCTTGGCTCTGTTGTGTCCTAAATAAGTGCTTTATTGTGGGAAATGGAAAACAGACACCAATTCCTTATTGAACAAGAGTGGTGACTGCCACTGAGTTCTGTGCAAGATGTACATGTGTGCAGTCTTGGGGCTGGCAATAGATTTGGGGAGGGTGCAGTCCAGCAAAGTGCTGGCATAGAAAGTTTTTTCCTTCTCCATACTAGTTTGTTGCTTCTTCAGTTCTATCTACACGGCTCTTTGTGAGGTTGTAATGTAAATCAAATCCCTAATATCATGTTGGGTTTTTTCATTATTGATGGGGTTAATTTGAGGAATCTGGTTTAAAATATGGTTCAAAAAAAACCAACCAACAAGCAAACAAACAACTTGTATCGACACAGTTGAGGATGTGATAAATTATGATAGGGAACAAGAATTTCCTAAGCATTTTCTTGTTGACCAACACCCTGTTCTTTCCGCTTCTGTTTCTTTTGCAGGGTTGCTGGTTTAAGAGTTGCTTTCCCTGAGTACTTCTTCCTCATTCACTGTGAGAATGCCACCCAGTTTTGCCAATATAATGTTTTTTATGGTTACATGGTTACATTTTTCACATATATGAGTTCCTTGATTCGGTCTCCAAAACAGCCACAAAGAATAGTTGTTCCAGCTTGTCAGAGGGCTAGTCCTGGAGCAGACAAGCCACTCACGGGGTGTGAGGAGAAGTTGACAAAGCTTAAATAAGTGGCTAACCGCAGCTTCAAAGAGCACATTTAAGATAGTCCTCCAAGGAAAGGAGTTAGGCGGGTATCTCATTTCTGATCCATTACGGCATACAGGTTTGAATTAAGTGCAAGATTGCTTGGCCTTTTTAGCTATCTGGGCACATGAGAAAACACAAAACAAAAAAACCCCAAACCTTTACAGAATGTTTTCTGCTGAAAATTTAGACTTTGATTTTGAGGAGCTCTGTCTTGAAATGAATATCCTAGGTTAAGGACTGACCTAAGTCTCTTAATGGGTTTAGCCCTGAGCATGCTGCCTGAGTTCCATGACAACTTTGTGAAAGTAGGAGTCTGGATACAGATCGTGTGAATCCATGTCCTTCCAAATATTATGGTAGGAGCAGAGTGTTTTATGTTGCCTGCATTGTGGAAAAGTAAGTAGTAGTCAAAGAACTGTGAGCAAGAAAAGGTGCTTCCCTCAGTGTACATAATTAGGATTCATCTTCTTTATGTCCTAGGCCCATGCATTCCTTTTACATTTTCTCTGTTCCTCATTTCTCCGAAGCTGCTGTGTGTATGGACAGGAATAGTTTTCCTCGCCATCCACCCTTGCTTTTCCCCTGTGTTGGTTTCTACTGTGCTAGATGTCATCTCAGACACATAAGGCGTCGTGCAGTAGGAGTGGTATATTGATGTGTTTCTTGATGGTTTTTTTTTTCCCCTGGCATGCCCACTCTTTTACTAGCTCCCTATATGCTGAGTTTTGTTCTAGCCACCTTAGGCTAAGTGTGAAGCAAGACTTTAACATACATGTGAAGTAAGACTTTTAACATATGTGGTAGGGAGAGATTTGATTCCTTATTGCATCGTTGCATTGCTTTTTCAGTTTGCAGGGTCTTGGTAGATATCTGTTCTTAACCATATGGCAACATTATAGATATGATTACTGGACTGATCTTTGTGTGTCTGTTAGTTGAAGAATACAACATTAAGTCATCATACCTTTTTCAGAAGGGTTTAGATTAGGTTTGGAGGAAGACAGAAAGTATGAATGTGAAGAGAAATAAAATAGCAAGGGAATGTATATTAAAATAAATCACATGTCTTTTATTTTAGCATCTGTAGATAGAATTGCTGCACCTTAATATTGTGTGAACTGATTTCTGTTACTGTCTTCAGCAGAACCTCCAACAGCAGTCATACCTTATCATCTTGTCAAACTATGGAGCCCTGTACATCAGATGAATTTTTTCAGGCTCTCAACCACGCTGAACAAACTTTTAAAAAGATGGAGAATTATCTTAGACACAAACAGCTGTGTGATGTGGTGTTAGTTGCCGGTGATCGTAGAATTCCAGCTCACAGGTAAGTTTGTTATAATTTAAAGTAACTTCGTATTCGTTTACAAACGTACCTTCGAAGCATGTCCTGTTTTTTGTTTAAAAAAGGTCAGAGCATCCTAAACAATTTAGAACACTTTAAACATGTTTATGGTTTTTAACATTTATTTGGAAACTGAAAGTTAATTTCTGTCTGTATGCAGTACAGCATCAAAAATAAATGTGATGTTTTCATTCTGCTGCTTGTCTTCAAGCATATAGTAAGATGTTTGCATAACAAAATAAAAACCCCAGAAGTCACAAATGCACTCTCAGAATATTACTAGTAGTAGTGGTTTCTGTACCACAGAATGACCTAAAAAAAATGTCTTAGATTTAATTTTTTCTTTCTACTAACAATTAAGTTGTTGGAGTCATAATTACCAATAAGACAGTCTTCTGTCTGCATAAAGTTTTTTTGCTCCCATAGTGAGAAGAGTCCTTTGATAGTAGACTGCTGAAGACTGACAGTAAATGTTAGATGGCTAAATTAGATCAAACATTACCCTATCTGTCATCTGTGTAATTAACAGGTCATATAGCATGCCACTTAAAAGCTAGGAAAATACCAAAGGTTGTGAAACAAAAGTATGAATAACTGAAACACGTTACAGTATTTAATGCACAGTATTAATAGTTCCAGTAGGAACCTAGGTATAGTTAAGATGTGGTTTCGTAAGGTTAGGTCTACAACAGAAATAGCAGCGTAAAGCCTTCCTATTTTCCATTGCTCATTCCTACCCCCACAGTGAAACTACAGCTTAATACTGTAATAGATGGGAAGAGGTTGGTGTTTTGGGTTTGGTATTTTTCTTAAAAAGCTAGATCTCTGCTTTTATTCAGATATCATCCACACTGGTGTGCTGACAGAACTGAGGGAATGATATCATGGGGATGGGAACTGACTTGAGGAGCAGGGAGGCAGTTAAACCATAACTTGCTATTGCTCTCAGAGACTATTTTATGAAACTTGATTTTTAAAGTCAAGACTATCCCTGATTTTGCCGAGTTTGTTTAAACAAATCTTGCTGCAGTTACTGCTAAAATGGGTGGTCCTGCTCTCTAGCCAACCCCTGACCTAATTTCCTTTGTAAATACTTATAGCCAAGTTGCTGTGGATGATGATGAGTCCTTTTTGGAGAAACAAGAGGGTGAGCAAGATGATTTGGCTTTCCCTATGGCTACAGAGTTGCTTAAGATTGGTCTTCAGTTTGTTCAGTTAATTGCAGAACTGCATTGTCCCTGTGGATAGAGTGAATCAGATGAAAATAGGGAATGCACGCACCCCTAGTGGATTTGCATCTGCTGAAGTAATTTAGAAGTCAGAGCTTTCAAGTGCTGTAAACAGGAAAAAAGTGATTATAAAAAGGAAATAATTCTACTTCCTTATGTGGCCAAGGTAGCACCTTTGCGATATAGAGTTCTGGAGTATGGTTTATGTAATAGTTAAATGTAGAAAGGGTGCAGGAGACAGCTGCAAGTATCTTGTAAGGACTGGAAGATTGTACTTGCAACAAGATAAACAGACAACTGTTAGTTCTTTAATGTGGTTTATACCTGTTTCTCATTTATTTAGAGAACTGACTTTGCTCCTCCAGTTTCTGCTACTGTATCTATTTCTGTAGTGCATTAGGCATATGCTGCCACCTGTTATTTGCTCTAGTCTTTTCTTCAGAGGAGAAACATCTTGCTGTAGTTGGTATATTATATTTTAAATATGCATGAAAATTAAGACCAAAGAAGAACACCTTGTGCTTGTACAGGAGATGGGAGGCTTATGATTGTCCTTAGCTCACTTTATAATGTTGGAGCAACTTAGAAAGAAGTTTTGCCTTTTGCACAGCAAGTTCTCTCTCTTACTGTTTTGTTTTCACAGAGAAACATGGAAATAACTACAGTCTTCATCTCAGTGCATCCAAAGTACCTCACTGAAAATTGAACTTTTCCATAGTGGGAAAGATAAAGATGGAAATCTTAAATTAGAAAATCAGTAAGAAGACTGGCTTTATGTACTTGTGGTAGCCTATGTTATAAGAAAAAATTTGGTAGGATTTTTTACTGCTTGCATCCAAGTTCTGACAGCTTTAGTATTGACTGCAGGCTGGAGCAGTCAGGGTATTTCAGATCACTAGTGATTATTTTATCTTAAGACCTAGTAAGCAGCAGAAGATGTATTAAATAGATATTAGCTTAATGGCTTGGCATTCTAAGATACGTAAGAAAAGATAAAGTTCACTTATACTAGACAGCATTTTTCCCTCTTTTTTTTTTCCTCAAGGAAGGGTCTTTCTTAATATGTGGTCACATAGACTTGGTAAGAAATAACATTTTTCATTATTAATATTATTATTAATCACACTCATATATTATAGAGAGAAGTTTTCAGATTTTCTGGTTTGATCCTGATATTTTTAATAGTTACTGTATTTTTTCTTAATTCTCGGTTTCTACTTTTGAAGATACTTGAATGTTCTGAGGTGTATGATGTATGTTTTTAGAGAAAAGAGCAGTGAGTTTGGTGTCTGCAATAGTACTAAGCACATGTAATACATTACTGTAAAAGTAAAAGTTCGGTTTGTTTTATAACCACCTACTAATCAGAACATTCACATAAGAGAGATCTGTGTAGATTCCTGGCCAGAGGGGATTTAAAGCCTGCTCTGCATTGTTTAACCAGCAGTCTAAAAATCTGTGCAGAGCCATTTTCTTTCTTCCTGTTGATGTTGAAAGATGGAAGTACAAAAGACATGGGACTTGAGGAAAGAAGGCAAATGGATGCTTATGTACCCTAGAGGTTAGGAAGCTTGTTTGGAAGAGCACAGATCCTGGTTTGCAGACATTTTTTATCTTGAGGCTTATCTATTTTGGTACTACTTTTCCATATGGCTTAATAATATTCTGTGTTTCTATAATTAATAATACTTCTTTTCTCCTACGGTCTATATTGCCTTAGTTTGTAAATCCTTCACTGCAGCCTTTTTTTTTGTTTTAGCTATATGTTTATAAAACTTTGACACAAAGTATCTTTCTAAAAAGTCAGAGTATATAAAAAAGCAGTTCTGTGACAGCTTTATATTAAAAAGGTACTATTGCTACTTACAGTCTAGTTTTGAAAAATTTTACTGAAACGTTTATTGTAATTATCATTTCAGTGTCAGCAGCACCAACCGAATTTTGAAAGGTTTGATTTCCCTGGAAGAGAGCTATAATTGGAAATCATTTCAACATAAACATTCTGTGTGTATTTTTAGGTATTGCTTGCTTTTAAACAAATTTAATTTAAATAAATACAGATATAATAGTAGTGTGGGATAGTATCACTTTCATATATTCTTCTTATTACTGACATGCATTGTTATCAAGAATAGAGACTAGCTGAAGCCACCATTGTATTAGGTGCTTCATACTAGGACACATGAACTATTCAGTATCAGCTTAAAATCTCAGTGAATGCCATTAGTGAGTTCCCTAGGACTATTTTCAGCTGTTACACAGCCACAAACAAGGAGTTGCCTAGTAAGTGTCCCTTTTATCTTTAAGATGTTAAGAAGCTTCACTTCATTCTGTCAGATGGATCAGGTTGGGAGATACTAAATCTGTAAATTGCCAGGTTTGATAGCTATCATTATTTTATGTAATAATTGCTTTGAAGACCTAGAAAACTGTCTAGCTGATAGAGCTTGTGGCCATTCCAGCAAGAAGTACAATTTAATTGAGGTGTGCCACCCTGCTTACGCATATTTTACTGGCTCTCAGTAGAAAACTCTTCGAAGTAAGTCAAGTAATCATGGTGGATCTTTCTATTTTTGGATCAGTACAAACCACAGAAATTGAAGACATCAGTAGCATTGGAACCTCCTATAAGAACAGGGAGACATACTGAAACACCCAGATTTTGTCAGTATTTAGCCCATAGCTGTTGAGTGTTTTCCTGGAGAGATTAATTGTTCAGACATCTCGTGGTTCTCCAGATGAAAAATTCTGATATTCGAGTGTTCCTTTTTCTGGCACTGAAAAAGATTAGCCAACCTACTGCTTATAATTCAGTAGCCGAATTCTTGTAATCTTACCTATGCAGAATTGAGTATTTAGCAGTAGCTGCTAATTAGCTAAGAAGGAGAGTAAAGTTAAATATGTTCGACATCCCCAGTTGAATAATACAATGCCAACTATATTAAGACTGTTTCTTGATATTTTTTTTAACTGTTAAGAGGCCTCTCTAATGTCCATATATATACTGATTTTGTAGGAATTTTAGATGAGCCAATTATGAAAGAAATACTACTAGAGAAAAAAAGACTATAAACTGAGAATATAAAATCCATAGCTTGTTTCTGAACTGAGGAAGGGCAGTATTTTGTAGCATCAGGAGTTCCCAGTGAACTCTTGATATGGCTGAGTATGTTAATGATTAATAAATAACACAAAGAGAGTCTGTTGATGTTAAATACTAACAGAGCCATGGTGGCTCTATTTAGGAAAGAGATTGTGACTATAAGTGTAGTTTTTGTAGTCATACCACGGATTTTCTTTTGAAAAATTGTACTTATCACTTAGTTCTTTTAGAGATTTTTAGCAAAAAAGGTTAAATATGGATGAGGAAAGCCTTCCATAGATTCTTCAGTTATATGAAGGTATTAGCTATTTCACACTGCATAATCTATATGTAGGAATGCAGTTTAATTTCAGACAATCCTAAAAGAGGTTGAAAGAAAGATCAATTACTAGGTATGAGACTACAAGATCAATGAGCAAGTGAGTGTCAAATGGCATGAGTAAAGTAGTAATTGATTTTTAGTGACTAGTGGGAAAAACATAGGACAAGAAAAGGCCAGTTGGCTAAAAGTCTGCCATTGTTTTCTTTTATGCTAGCTCAGTGTCACCTTGATGCATTGTCACTGTATCTTTTAATCCTCTTTCTTTGAAAGAACTTTTTTTCTAAATTAGTTGAATTAAGAGAGAAGTGTACATACCTTTTCTAAGGCTTTTCATTGTGAACATACTTCTTGGCTAAAATTATTGCAAAATTGTTATCAGTGTAATTTATGCTTTGGAATATTACTTGTATTAGTCTACTCCTGGGCTACGTATCCTGTTTTGGCATAAGTCATGCTCTGGAAAGCACTTAACATGTGAAGCATGTGTACCTTCTCATGAATCCAAACACAAGTTTGCAAAAGTAGGAAGTGGAATGCATTTTACATTTCTAGTAATTTCTTTTGGAGGACTTTGAGACTGGAAATTACGGGAAGAAATTTGCTGATATCAAACAGCTGGTGGAAGGTGTTTCTCTGGAGCCTTGGGTTGTTATTTGGCATTTCATCAACAGTTGTTGCTAAGATACGTACAGTCCAGCCATTTGCTGAATAATAGTGCAGCTAACTAAACCAGTTGCACTGTTGGGGGAAAAAAAAAAAAAAGAAACAAAAAACCACCCCAAAACCATGTTAAGAGCAGGTTTTACATTGTTTCCCATCACAGACCTTTCTTTTTCAAGTCAGTATTGCCAGAGGTGAATATTTTAAGTTGTTTGGTCTGCTTTTTTTTTTTTTATTCTGAACTGGACCTACAGAGATACTTGGGTTATTCAAATCTGTCTGTCTACACTTTTCTTTCAGTCAGAACCCCTATTTTGGACGTACGAATCTGGTCTTGTCATCTCGTTCTAGCATCAAAAGCAGTTGCAGAAATTCTCCCTTGATGCTTACATGAATGTACTTTCTAATTTCACTAAACTTCTACAGATCTCTAGGAGGCGCTATATTTAGTCAACTGCAGGTGTTGTTACACCTGAGGTTAAAATGCCTAGAAGTGATGTCTGGGTGCTGCATTGGCAGAATGTTCTAATTTTCTCAGCAAGTCAGCCACAGACTAAATCTCATATTTCAGGAGCAATATGTTCTTTAAAAGAACAGAACTTTATTTCTCATTACAAAACTTCACTTCAATCATACAAGATGTTAAAATAAAATTAATCTTTTCCTGGTACCCTCTTAACCCAACTCTGTGGCCTCAGCAACTAGAAGAAAAGGATTGTGCTACTGTAGGTCTGACCAAATGGTCAATGGTCAGAAAATCATCAAGAAAAAGGTAATTTAAATTAGTCAACAATTTATTACTTTGCAGTTCATTAACTAAGAGGCAGTTCTTTGCAGTTCATGACTTTGTGTATGTAGCGGCAAATCCTCCTCATTAATGCATGTTTAGACCTACTCCTAAGCACTGGTGCTCACCTTGTCAATTAATTTTACTCTTTGTGGTTCCTGACCTCTGGCATCTTAGCAAGCCAATATAATGGTTCAGCACAGAATAAACTGACATTTCGTGGAGTATTAGATTCATGGAATATATGCAGATGGACTGTGTAGTGTATTTGCAGTGGGCTGGATTCTTCGGCTTGCTGTTTGTATAGCTCGGTCCATATGCAAGTGTATTAACGTTTGAATTCCCTGTGAGCGAGGCAACAGTGATCTGCTGCAGCACAAAAATTGATCCAAACCACAAGGCTGTTCCTGGAGGTCTCTTAGGGAAGAGACCAGCAGCCCTCATGAATAGTTATGGTAGGTTTCATACAACGGAACTATGGATTGAATATTCCTGCTCCACACGATTTCTTTTCTCTTTCACCCCAGTCCTGTGAAAACATACTGAGACATCAAAACTCTTGCACATTTTGTGGAGGGACGTTGTTGTATGTACTTCATGTTTTGCTCTCAGTAATCCGAAGACAAGTCTGTTGTGGACTAACATATTTACTTGCTCAGTATCTTAAAATATTCAGAATTGTTAACAAAAGGCTAAATACATGCCCACAAAAGAGATTACTCTGTGCCTTCTCCATGTTTACTGTGCCTAGTTCTGTTATCAGTACTAGTAAATGAATGCATATGTGTACACCAAGAATAAAGGCATGTTAAAACACTTTGAAATGGACTAGTAAGTCATTCTTTCACATTTAAAAAAGTAACTGACATAATATAAATGGAAGTCGATTCAATTTTTTTTATTTCCATAATGTATATTTATATTCCATTTCCAATTTATGTGGGTTTTCTGGGTTGTTTTTGTGTTGGCTATTAAAAGTCATTGAGCTTTGAAAGGGTAATTCATTTACTTCAGCAGCAAATGTAGATTCAGTAACAGTACTTCATTATTTATAGAGGGGAACTAGAGCATGGAGCCGTTCGTCAATTTTAAAATGTTTTTCTCAGTTTAGTGTTTCTTCAAAGGGCAAAGTAATGAATCATAAATTAACAAACATCAGGTTGACTAAGTTTTTCTTCTTTTCCTCTTTGTCTCTCTCCTTTTCTCCTGCACGATGTACTCAGGTTGGTTCTCTCCTCTGTTTCGGACTACTTTGCGGCAATGTTCACTAATGACGTAAGGGAAGCAAGACAGGAAGAAATCAAGATGGAAGGTGTGGAGCCGAATGCATTGTGGGCTCTGGTTCAATATGCATATACAGGTAATTAGAATGAAAATGGGAATTTCATCTAATGAATGTGAGCATTATATTCCATTACTAGATTTCAAACTCTTTAGAAATTATTACTCACATTATTGAATTCCTTATAAATAAATGAAAAATCATAATTGCTGTTACCTGAGGCAACCTGGTAGGATATAGTTTCTTTGATAATACTATATTCAGTTAGTTAACAAATTATGTGAATATTCTAAATGTAGCTAGGCTGACAAAAAAAGGAATCTTGTTAGGATTCCCTTTCCTTACAACATTATAGCTACTAATTTTGAAAAGCTGGTTATCTATTGCTGAGGGTGATGTTTGCTAAGCTTTATATTCTGTCATACAAACTGTAAGTAATTCTGTTGCCTCTGAGTTTTAAGGAATTTAACAAATGCTAAGAGAAAACTAACGTGATCTCCTTTTTAATGTTACTAGGTCGCCTTGAATTAAAAGAAGATAACATTGAGTGCCTGTTGTCTACAGCTTGCCTGCTTCAGCTCTCTCAGGTTGTAGAAGCATGCTGTAAATTCCTAATGAAGCAGCTTCACCCATCCAATTGCCTTGGAATCCGATCTTTCGCTGATGCACAGGGTTGCACTGACTTGCACAAGGTGGCTCACAATTACACTATGGTATGTTGTTATTTTAAGTATCATCTGCTTTATTTAGTAAGGAAAATACAGAATGTTTTCCTGAATAAAATACTAATGTTTTTCCTCCAGAAAGCCTTGATCATTTTCCAAGCAAGAATGCACGTATGTTCCCATGATGAAAAATGACAAAATAACTATAAAGTTGCTGGTTTAAAGTTGGAAGGAAATAGGCAAGCATGAATGGTTTCCTGTAACAGTAATGGGATTGTGTGAGACGCGTTTAATAAAATCATTCAAAAGCTTGTTCTTGTTTCTGTCAGCCAAAACCTACAAACTTAACAGTGGGCAAGTTGCCATCATCTAGTCCAAAATAACACTACTAAATTAAACTGTAGAATTGTTTTTTAATGAGCTGCAGTAATCAGGTTCTAAGTTATACTTGGGGTATGAATGTGGGCCTTCATCAATATAGATTCTGCTTTGTCCTTAATTTCTTTGTAATGGGATGTCAGGATGGCATCAAACAATTTAATCTTAGGCAATATGTGACTAAATACAAATTTGCAAATAATATTTTGAGAGTTAATTTAGAGAAAGACTGACCTGCCAACTTAATTAAACTTAATCTTAATAGGCATCCTTTTATTTTAATGTAAAGTGTTCTTTTTCTTCTCACGAGCATATTTTAGTAATGTTATCAGCAGAAGAAAGCAGGAGAATTATCTCTCAGGCAAGTCAGTTCATCTGCTCTTTGCAGTTTTGTGAGGCATTTTCTCTCTTCTTGATGAAATTCTGCCTATGTAAGCTCTTGGGACCTGAATGAGGGCATGTAGATACTGCCTAAGAGATGTGGGAATGAAGATAGTACTTAATTTGCTTGTGTGGCATCGCATTGCATTGCTGTTAAACTATTGGCTTAGATCCAAGAGGTGTAATTTCTGTCTTGTAATTAGTATTAGAAATCCATGGCTTTTCCTCTTGATGCCTTAGTTTTGCTGGTTTATAAACTTTCTCTTTTTTAAAATTATTTCTTCTTGGCTTAAAATAACTTAGTTTTATATGTGTAACAGTTTAAAATAGCTCCTTTTTTT